CCCCCCCCCCCCCCGCCGATCCCGATCCCAAATACGCACGGTTCTTTTCGTCGATGAGATCCACCGATTCTCCAAAACTCAACAGGACGCACTCCTCCCCGCCATTGAGGACGGATCCATCATTTTCTTCGGCGCTACGACTGAAAACCCCTCATTCCACCTAACGAACCCCCTCCTCTCCCGTCTTCGCGTTCTTGCCCTCCGTTCTCTGGAACCTCAGCATGTCCGCTCTCTTCTAATTCGCGCGGTTGGTGACGTCGAGCGCGGCCTCCGCCTCTCCATTAACGGCGCCTCCGTTGCCATAGATGATGGAGCACTCGAGTTTCTCTCTCTCCATTGCGATGGCGACGCCCGTGTTGCACTCAATTCGCTTGAAGCGTCGGCAATCTTAGCCGTGAACCGAAGTTCTGGGGTTGGCGAGGGAACATCTATCATTACAACTGCTGATGCGAAGGAGGCGATGCAGTGCAAGCACTTGGCTTACGATCGTGATGGAGATGAGCATTATAATCTCATCAGCGCGCTCCACAAGTCGATGAGGGGCAGCGATGCCGATGCAGCCATTTACTGGTTGGTAAGAATGCTCGAGGGAGGAGAGCAGCCTTTGTACATTGCCCGGAGGCTTGTGAGGTTTGCTAGTGAGGATGTGGGACTCGCAGACCCTGCAGCTCTTGGCAATGCCGTTGCTTGTTACCAGGCCTGCCACTTCATTGGGATGCCAGAGTGCGATGTGTGCCTCGCACAGTGCGTTGCATACCTCGCTCTAGCGCCCAAATCTGTGGCGGTTTATAAAGCTTTGAATGCGGCAAAGAGAGCGGTGAAGGAGTCGGTGGGGGGGAACGAAGGGGTGCCGCTCCATTTGAGGAATGCTCCCACGAGGCTGATGAAGCAGATGGGATATGGGGATGGGTATCTATATCCTCCGGATAATCCCCAGCTTTGTAAGGGGCAGAGTTATCTACCAGATTCACTTAAAGGTCGGAAATTTCTCCAATGGCCGCCATTGGATGTAGAGCAGCTGTGAAGTCTGGTTGACTGGTATGTTTTATAATATGGGCAATTGGGTCTATATTTTATATATATATATTTCTTTTCTTTAACTGGTTTTTCTGGGGCGGGCTATATTAGTTCAAGATCCTTTTTTTTGTACTCTTTTGTCGATATTTTGGGTAATGTTGCTGTTGCATTGCGGTATGGAGGATGTGAGATTATGGATGTAGAGCTTTAATGGAGAAGAAGATTTTGCTGATCTTTTTTGGCTTGGTGGATATTTTATGTTTTAGCATGTTTAGATGCTTTGTAGTAACAAGAATGAATTGAGAATGATGATTGACAAACCTGAATACAAATAGTTGGGATGAAGTTGATGATTATGATCATTTAGATTGCTTTATATATTTATTATTATTATTATTAAATGAAATTTACATATCTAACGCTATATTCTTATGTGCTTTTACATTTCTCACGCATTTTTTTTATATTTACATACATAGCACTCTGGTGCTTTGATCCTAGTCATGAAAAAATGTATTTCACTTTTAAAAAATGGTAATAGTGCTATTTTTGTCTTTTTGATGTGATATTAAAGATTTGAGTGATATTTCTGTAAATATGAAAGTTTAGATGTGACTTATGTATGAATCATTAAAATTGTAGGTGCAAATGTGGTCTTCTTAGCGGATGAAATTAAATCTAGGCTATGCCAAAAAGTAGACATCAATCCAAATATATATATATATATATATATATAGAGAGAGAGAGAGAGAGAGAGAGAGAGAGAGAGAGAGAGAGATTTATGCTTAAACTCCAGTTTTATTTCTACTGTTATCTAGGTTTAATGAGCATGAAGTGTGCCTTCTATAGACATTGACATGGTTTATCTATGAAGAAACTACAGCGGATAATCATTTTTATTTTTCAAACTTTAAATATTGATACATCCATAAAGGCTTGGGACTTTCGGCATGAGTTTTTGATGACCATAAGTTTGATCTCTACACCTTCGTGGAAGTTTCGTGACTTAGGGCCTGTTTGGGGAGACTTATTGGTGCGGTCGGCGTTTTCTAACGCCGACTATGCGTTTGTTTTGCACGTTCGTTTCCGCGGTCCGAAATTGCCAACGCCCTTTATACAGTTCTCGCAACCGTGCTCGTTAGGGTGATGACTGCATATCGTTCGAGCTTTTCCCCTCGAGCCCTTGCCATCTCCCGATCTCCCGTTCCCGATCCCGTCCCGATCCCGTCCCGATCTTCGCCCTTCTCCTCTCCGATCTCTCTCGTCGTCTGGTTCATCATAAGGGCGAAGATCGGGATGGGATCGGGTCTGGTTCATCGTCGTCCCCGTCTCCTCTGCCCTTCAATCTCTCTCGGTGGTCTGGTTCATCATCGTCCCCGTCTCCTCTGCTTTTCTCATCTCCCGATCCCCTCATAGGCAAATCTAGTTCACTCACCAGACTCGTCCCCTCTCCTCGATCTCCCTGTAAGTTCTTTGGAGCTCCGACTTTTTGGTAATAGAGTTGTGTTCGAATTGTATGCACCTGTGTTGCCTCTATCGACTCTGGTGATGCATTGTTAGCGTAAGAAATATTTTGATGCATGTCGAATTCTGATTTTGTTGGAAAACATTTTGCAAGCTGATTGCTATAATGCTGGAAAAGATTTTGTTGCTCTGACTTTTTGGTAATAGTAAGGTTTTTCGAATTTGTTAAGCTTGTGTTGGTTCTATCGGCCCTAGCGATGCATTATTCTTGTGGCTTGATTTGTTAAAATAAAAAATAGTTAGATACATTTGCTTTCTGATGCCCTATGTTGCCTCACTGGAAAAAATTGTGGTGTTCCGGCTCTCTGGTAATATAACTGTTTATGTTGAACTGGGAGAAATGCGAAGAAGGATTGGCGTGGAATTGTTCAATTGTTTTACTGAATAGCTATAAAATGTGTGCATTAAAAGTTTACTCCCACCTTTGATTGGTAGAAATATTAGTTGCTGATACGTAACTACTTTTGCAACATTCCATGTGTCGGTGCTGGGTTATGCATTTGAAAGTCCTAATTTGGGATGTATTTTCTTGAGAAAAAAAAAACAATCAGAAAAGCAAAGCTAATAGGTAATTATATTATTTGAGTATTTGCTTACAACATCTTTATAAAAGAGAAATCAATACGACTGCTGTGGAGGTATTTCTAAGCACTACGGGAGCATTTAGTTGATTCTATTGTCTTTCTTTTATCATGTGTTACTTTTTACATCACAATTTAACAACCCAATATCCTTGAATGTACATTCTTCTATTGTAAGAAACGTAAAGTTAGGTTGCTAGTTTCACTTGATTATCTAGCAAATTTGACTGATAATTATCAGTTTCATACCCAGTAAAATTATGTTGATATTTTCGATGCACGTTGTCTTTGTAGCATTTGAAAATGATATTTATTAGAATAATGTTGGTTTGATTTGTTGGGAGGATGAGATTAAGCATATTCTTGATTTTCTTTGGAATTATTGATGGATATCGGAAGTTTTGCTCAAGAGTTTGTTCCCTTTAGTATCAAAGTGTGACATAACATGAAGTGAACATACATGAATATACTTTGTTATGTAGTATGTGAAGCTACGCACATTAATATTTCAGAACAAAAAAAGCTAGTCCGGTTTCCTTGCTTGTTTTTTTTCGAAGGTGGAGTTCAAATCAAGACTTTTTCTATAAGTTTTGCCGAGATTTATGAATTTTTTTAGTTGGTTTTCATTACTTTGCACGGGAATGTTGGTATAATTGCTATAAAACAATTTGCTTTACCATATTTCAAAAATTAAAAAAATGAGGCTTGGTGAAGCAGTTGAGGGAGGGTTTGATATATACAATTTCTCATTAGTTTTAACAAGGATTATGCATGAAGTTTTAAGATTATTTTTTGATGCAATTTGATATTGAAAGGCTTTTGAAGCAGTTGTATTAAAGGCTTTAATTCTGATCATTTTTTGAAGCAGTTGAGGGAGTGTTTGATACATACAATTTTTTTATGTCATTTTGAAGCAATTGTATCAAAGGCTTTAAATCTATTATTGCTTCTTTTGGTTACACAAGTGTATTAAAGGCTTTAATTCTCTTTTTTGGCTGCATTTGAATGGCTGAATAGATTTGGCCAGGTAGTTCTAGTTGCAGCTGCATCATTTTTTTGAATTGTCACGGAGTAGTTGGATTGGCAGCTATTTTATTGGCTACATTTTACTAGTTTCGGTTTCTGTTTTTTGTGAAATTATGAAAGAATTGTAGTGCTATGTATGGAGCTTGTTTAGTTGAGAGCATGTTGTGTAATCTTGAAGGGGGTTCGTCCGCATGGGAGAAGTTGGATTGGCAGCTGTATCATTATAGTGCTATGCATGGAGTTTGTTTAGTTGTTTAGTTGAGAGCATGTTGTAGTAAACTTCAATTAAGGTTCATAGTTATGTAATCTTACAGATTTGCTTAATAAAAATTTCGTGGATTGCCTTTTGTGGATGTAGCTCATTGGCCGAACCACATAAATATCTCATGTACTTGTTTTTTTTTATTTGTAAATTGCAACGTTGTGGAAATGATGTTGGCTGTCGGTCTTTATTTATAATTTGTTCATTCTTGAAATTGCATAATGATGTTAGGCTATTGTTTGTTGGATGTCGGTCTTCTTTCATAATGATGTTGGGCTATTTTTTGTACACAATTAGAAAATACTTATTTTCCCTTGTTCCCTATAATTTCAACATGTCTAAGGCGATTGAATGGGGTTCGTTCACAATGTGGGATAAATAAGTAACAATTATTTTTTGCGATCTATGTATTAAAGAAAGTGAACTGGGGAACATACCAACCACGTATTTTAATAAGAAAAATTGACAAAATATTGTTAAGAGGTTCAAAGAATTGACTGACAGAGATTACGACAGACTTAAATTTAAAAACAAATAAGATCACTTGAAGAAGGAATAGAAAATATGGAAGGAGTTGAAACGTGGATCTACCGGGTTGGGTTGAGATCCCATTAAAAGGACGATCAATGCTCTGTCTGAATGGTGGGCTGAAAAATTAGAGATAATTTTTTAACTAATCCCTGAATTGTTTACTTCTCAAATTGGTTTCTCTAATTGGAATTTTCTAACTAATCCCTCTAAATACAATATTACAGGAAATGCCGACAGCGAAGAAATATAAATAGTGCGGAATTAAGCCGGACTTTGATAAGCTGCAGCGACAGAAGGCAATGGTAGGATATAGTGACAGTAGGAAACGGGTGGGCGAGCGGCGGCAACGGGCGATAGTTGTTACGGCGGACGCTTGCCGATAGTTGGTGGTGGGCGGCGTTGACGGGGGAGGTCAGGGGGTAGTTATGGCCGGCAAACAGCGGGTGGCGGCCTGCTGAGTGCATTTTCTAAAGGCTTATTCATAATGTGTTTAGAGACGGGCTTGTTTAAGGTGTTTTAAAAACAATAAAAACATGTTTTTTTTAATATTTTAAAAACATGTGTTATTTCTTTCATTGTCTTTTTCTTTCTCTTATGTTTTTCGTGAAAATGAGCACACTCGTTTCCACACTAGACACAAAATGATTGCACTAGAGAGCCTTCCGTCTTCTTCTTTGTTCGATTCCACACCGGGAATTGTCTGCCTTCTACTTCCCACACCGCAACTCGAAGACGTAGTCCTTCAAAATAAAACCCAATTTTATGCTCAATTTGGTTTGTCAAACAATGACGATCACTCTGTTGCAAGCACATGAGGTTCGTTTTCTTCCCATCTTCTGCATCACACGCTTCAGGACAATCCCGGCCTTCGACCATCTTGTCTCTTCTCTCGAGCCGTTCAAGTATAACACACATCTGTACTGCTTCAATTCTTCAGTTGCCTTTCCCGATCTCTTTTCATTTCCTCTTAAAAGGCCTTTCTCCTGCATGATACTTCTTCAGATATATACGACTTCTATGCTCGGTATGTCTCTTTGGATATGTAATTCTATAACATTATAAAAGAAAAAAGATTGAGCGTTGCATAAAGACCGACCTACGTGCAACACTCCGACTGTTGAGACCGTGATTGAGGCAGAAGATGGAGTTAGCCCAGATGGTGGAGGACAAGAATCAGATGGAGAATACTAGCAGAAACAACTCCAAGAAAGAATTACACAAGAGTATCTTGACGACCATGCCACCAAAGACCCATACAATATCATTTCAGGGGGAGGCGCTGAAGGAGAATAATGTAGAGCCCGTCCAGAGGTCAACTTAAAGTGTCTTACAGCGTCAGAGATACAGGAGAAGTGAGCAAAGGGGCTATGTTTTTTGGTGATGAAAAGTTTGATGCAGGAAGCAGTTATGAGGATCGGACATTAGAAGTTTTCACAGTGTGATGAGTAGGTAGAGGAGCTTTGATCAAGCGACAATTTTCTTTTATCCACCTTGAGGACAAAGTACTTTTTTGGGAGTGAAATATTGTTACACCGGTCTAGCCTAAGGGGCAATTGGGTCTTTTATTATTTATTATTGTTTAGTATAAATAGACTTTAATAGGTTTAGGGTTAAGTATGTATGAGATTGTGTTTGGAATCTATGGTTTAGGGTTTGGGAGAAATTTCCGAACTCTCGAATTGTAGGAATTGGGAGAGATAGCTTGTCTCTCAAATTGTAGATGCATGTGTTTGTATTCATCTTGAGTGTTTGTTCTTGTAATAAAATATTATTTGCCCTCCAAATATTGTATCATAAGACTTCATGATGCATTTACATACGTATCACATAGTTACTATGTATTTACATATCACAACAAAAATGGTTTTTTATTTACTGAGAATGGAAAATCTTTTTGTATTGGTGCCGATTTATATTTTTCTCACCAATTTTTTTATTAGTTCATTATTCCATTAGAGATTTTCAAGTGGATCATCATACTGTTTGCTGCAATCATACTTACCGTTCATCTATAGAACAATATCACTCTGTTCTCTTTTTTTCTTCACACCAGGTTGTACAATAAATCATACTGGATGGCCTGCAATATGATTGTTCATGTTGGTTATAGAAAGGAAAGAATGAATCAGGAATTTATGGAATGAATTTACCATGAACGAACCCCAGAATGGCGAGAAATTATTCCATACGGAGTGCACATGCAGCTCTACGTGCGGACTCCAGTAATATGCCGCCACGTGGAGGTTATTGTGTGGTTATTAACGTGAAACCGCGGAGGTTATTGGGAAGTTATTGGGGGATTATTGAGGAGTTATTGCAGGGGTTAATGCAGGGATTATTGAAATGGAACCGTCGAGATTATTGGAGTGGAATCGCGAATGTTGTCGGTGGGTTATTGAAGGTTTATTGCGGCGTTATTGGAGTTAATTTTACAATAACCCCTCAAAAACTCTCCCAAATAACCTCTGCGGTTCCACTCCAATAATCTCCACAGTTTCACTTTAATTTTTTTTAGTTTGACCTGATATAACACACATGACGGTATATTACTGGAGTCCGCGCGTCTCCGCATGGAATAATTTCTCCAGAATAACAGAACTTTGCCAAAGAAAATGTATGGGATACAAGTTTCATTGTGCGCTAATGATGTATTCCCACTTTTTTGGTTCTAAGAAAAAAAGGCACCGGCATCTAAATATAATATGATGGAAATCCAAATGTTTTACACTCATTCAAAATATAAAATGTGTCTTAAGGATGACCGCCATGATATTCTAAGTTTGACATACTTCTCTTCTTTCAAATAATTTAGTATTTTGATAATATCAGACTCAAATTTTGATATTGGTGTGATCTCATGCATATATTCAGTTACAGGAGCAATTATTAGGTGCGGAGTCTGCACATGCGGATTTAGTTGTATTTTGATTTATTGATTGTATTGATACAACCAAGAGAACTAAAATACAACAAAATCTGCTGTACCAAGTCCACACCTAATAATTTTTTAGTTACAAACATAAATTTTGACTCTTGTTTAATGTTAGATTTATGTTTGTGATTTTATTCTAGCATCGGTGCATATTTATATACCACGATGTGAAAAGAATTTAGCAGTAATTGTAAATCTTCACCTAACTCGTCCTTAGATTAAAACAAGGCTTCAAATGGAAGCTTGTCGAGTCAATCTCTGCATTATATAGTTCTGTTTTAATGATCTCTTTTAGGATCATTAAAAACATGCCAATCAAGCGGAACATTACAATCATCATCAGCATGAAGGCTCTCATATTCTTGTCAGAACATCTTGCCTATATGGAAAGTTCTTTGGCGCTTCGTACATATCTTATTTACATTTTAGTCTAGTTGATCTGAAACTAATATGCTATTTGTACCAACATAGAAGTACAAAAATATTTACCAAAAAAAAGACACTAGTGCAACAAAAGTTGGTTCAAATAATTAATGCAATGTAAGTTTCTTTGCAAAAAGGTGAGGTGAAAGCGGTGCTTTTCATGAAAATCAGCAGATTTTAGAAGTGTAAATTGCTTCAGAATCAAGGAAGTCAAATTTTCTTAATTAAAATAAGACGTACTTTGTTACCTCTCCATTTTCATCATGCCCCTTTAACTTTGTTTAGATGTTCGACTGCAGCTGTATTGAGATGTAGTGCATTACAAACCTCAAATGATTATGATTTATTGCAAATTTATTCACTCAAATACTTTTTTTTCTGATTTATTTGCGTTTGATCCTGTTTTAGAGGCAGTTTGGTTTGCTACGATGCAAATATAAATATATAATGCATATCCTTAGATTTCCTTAAACATAGCATGGGGGTTTCATTCCAGTCTAATCCATTAATTCGAACTTCTGAAGGATCTGAAGAGAAAATGTTTACCTCATCGTGATAACTGAAATGAATACATCAGAATTGTGTGATTTGTATGTAAATGCCTCTAAATTAATATGTTACATCCAAATTAAAAAAAAATAAAAACAATTAAATGATTTAGATATAGTGCCCTGTATGATTACATTGCAAATCTCACTAAAGATATTTCCAAATTGCGCTGAAGAACTGTTATTTATTTTCAAGAATTTGGGAGGCTAGTTGGTTGCCATTTACCTGCCGTAAAGGTTGGTGTGTGCTATGAATTGCATGCCTTCACGAATTATCCTGTCTGGTTCCAGATGATTGAGGAGAAGCTAGAACTTTCAAAATATTTATCTTGGACTTTTCTTCTTGTCTGATAGGAAAAAGGAAGCCTGCACCCCGATTCATATGCCGAGGTTGTACATCTCCTGAAAGTTGAGCCGAGAAGCTGTATCCTCATTGATGACAGGGTGACGAATGTGGAGGCATCTGTAAATGCAGACATGGTAGGTGTACATTTTAAAAATGCTGAATCTTTAAAGCAGGATTTGTCTTTACTGGGAGTTCAACTTGAAGTTATAAGCAATAGTATAGGCAATAGTTGATGGACGGAATTCAAAGGTTCTTTCTCCAATCGTCTTATTTGTTTTTGTAATCCTTCCTTCTTTCTAAATAAATTTCAGGTGTTATCTCTCCAACTTATCAATGTGAAAGCCTGTAAATTTTATCAACTTACCATTGTAAATATTGTGTTCGTTGGTTTTTGTGGAGTGATGCTACTCTCCAAATACAAATAAATTTTCCTTTAAAATATTGCTTTTTCTTGTCATGTCCACATATATATATATATATATATCACAGCGTATTTGAATTAATATATAGAATGTCATAAATCAATGTAAGAATATCTTGTTTTCGTATAACAATGTTTGTGTAGTGGCTAGCCTAGATGAAAAGTATATATTCATCCATATTAGTGATATTCTTGTTACCTTTTTGCATCAATATCATAACATTGAAAAAACTCATATTTATTGTTCATAAAAAATTTGTCGGCATGAATCACAAGGAAATCTAACAGTCGGCAGAGAAGATGACAAGACAAGCTTGGGCCCACCAGGAGCAGCCGAGGATCTGCATTTACCCGCCTGACTCTTGCTAGCCGGGAAGAATCTAATCCCATGCCGGATGAAAGAAAACGACCATTCCAAGAGGTAACCCAGAGGGATCTCACACGAACAATCAAGCATGATTCTTCATCCAAACCGAGCGGACGATAGAAGCCGCCTGAATCTTGACGAGCGGCTAGCACTTTCCGGTCGATGCCTCGACTATGATCGCCTATATTATAATTCGGTCGAACGCCTTTTCAGGCTTCCGACTTTATAATTATGCACGACCTAAAATATCACCAACCGTACCTACTTTACATCGTATGTATCACACACTTCAGGACAACTCCGACCTTCGACCATGTTGTCTCTTCTCTCGAACCGTTCAAGTATAACACACATCTGTACTGCTTCAATCCTTCAGTTGCCTTTCACGATCTCCTTTCATTTCCTCTTAAAAGGCCTTTCTCCTGCTTGATACTTGTTCAAATAGATACGACTTCTATGCTCGGTATGTCTCTTTGGATATGTAATTCTAACATTATAAAAGAAAAAAGACTGAGTGTTGCATAAAGCCCGAACTACGTGCAACACTCCGACTCTTGAAACCGTGAGTATTGGAGCAGAAGATGGAGCTAGCCCAAATGGTGGAGGACAAGAATCAGATGGAAAATACCAACAGAAACAACTCCATGAAAGAATTACACGAGTAACTTGATGACCATGCCACCAAAGACCCATACAATATCATTTCAGCGGGAGGTGCTGAAGGAGAATAATGTAGAGCCTGTCCAAGGGTCAACTTCAAGCGCCTTGCAGAGTTAGAGATTCAGGAGAAGTGAGCAAAGTTGCTATGTTTTTTGGTGATGAAAAGTTTGATGCTGGAAGTAGTTATGAGGATTGGACATTAGAAATTTTCACAGTGTGATGAGGAGGTAGAGGAGCTTGATCAAGTGGCAATTTTCTTTTATCACCTTGAGGACAAAGTGCTTTTTTGGGAGTTTACACCGGCCTAGCCTAAGGGGCAATTGGGTCTTTTATTATTTATTATTGTTTAGTATAAATAGATCTTAATAGGTTTAGGGTTAAGCATGCATGAGATTGTGTCTGGAATCTATGGTTTAGGGTTTGGGAGAAATTTCCGAACTCTCGAATTGTAGGAATTGGGAGAGAGTCTACCTCTCAAATTGTAGATGCATATGTTTGTATTCATCTTGAGTGTTTGTTCTTGTAATAAAATATTATTTGTCATGATTTCTGCCAAAAATCGTATAATAAGACTTCATGAGGCTTTTACATGTGTACCACCTAGTTCCTATGCATTTACATATCACAACAAAAATGATGTTTTTTTTACTGAATGGGCAATCTTTTTCCATTGGAGCTGATTTATATTTTCTCGCCAATTTTTTTCTTAGTTGTTTGTAATTCCATTAGAGATTTTCAAGTGGATCATCATACTTTTTGCTGCAATCATACTTAACCGTTCATCCATAGAACAATATCACTCTGTTTTCTTCTTTCTTCACTCCGGGTTATACCAATAAATCATACTGGATGGCCTGCAATATGATTGTCCATGTTGGTTACAGAAAGGAAAGAACGAATCAGGAATTTATGAAATGAATTTACCATGAACGAACCCCTAGAATAGCAGAACTTTGCCAAAGAAAATGTATGTGGATACAAGTTTCATTGTCCGCTAATCATTACAACAGAACGAACCCCTAGAATATACTCGTTCAAAATATAAAATGTGTCTTCAGGATGACCTCGATGATATTCTAAGTTTGCATACTTCTCTTCTTTCTAACAATTTAGTATTTCAGTGATAATATCAAACTCAAATTTTGATCTTGGTCTGCAGGAGCAATTATTAGGTGCAGAGTCCGCACATTTGGATTTGGTTGTATTTTGGATTTATTGATTGTATTGATACAATCAAGATAACTAAAATACAACAAAATCTGTTGTACGGAGGCCGCACCTAATAATTTTTTGACATAAATTTTGACTCTTGTTTAATGTTAGGTTTATGTTTGTGAATTTATTCTAATATTGGTGCATATTTATATTCCACGATGTGAAAAGAATTTAACAGTAATTGTAAATCTTCACCTAATTCATCCTTAGATTTGAACAAGGCATCAATTGAAGCTTGTCAGGTCAATCTTCTGTATGGTATATTTCTGTTGTAATCATCCCTTTTAGGGTCATTAAAAACATGCCAATCAAGCGGAACATTACAATCTTCATCAGCATAAAGGTTCTCGTATTCTTGTCAGATTATCTTGTCTATATGGAAAGTTTTTTTGGTGCTTCATACATATCTTATTTACATTTTAGTCTAGTTCATCTGAAATTTAAGACGTTATTTGTACCAGTGTTATAATAATATCTTTAATCTGTGTTGTTTCTCTTGGTTAAAATACGGGCTTTACACTGGCTTGAATATTTTCTCAGAAACTGTAAATTTATCGGCACCACTCGACTCAAATGGAGTGACTTTTTGTGGCCGTAAGGGTTGGAAGAAAAACGTGAGAAAATTCATGGGTATTATCATATGAAAAATTCCCATATTCAACATCTGCCACTGCTGAATATGGGAATTTTGGAATTCAAACTATATATGTTGGGCTTGGTAATTGTTGAGCCTCAATGTTACGCTTAGGCTTTGTTTCGGCGGTAGGGCAGCGGTGTGGTGGGGGCCGTTATTCTTCACTGTTTGGGGCAGCGAGTGAGGCTCGATGCTGCGCGTTTTAGGTAAAAAGCGGGCTGCGGATTCGACCCTGTGGCCCCGCTTTCTCCTTCGGCTTTTTCCATTGGTACCCTGCTTTCCCCGGCTACGAGCTCTCCCTCTCTCTATCCTTCGAAGCGGAGACACGTAGCGATTCGTCCAGCGTAGACGGCGACCGAACAAAAAAATCCTCTCTAAGAACTTTCTAGAGTGGAGTCGAGGAGGCTGCGTGATTCTTCTCAGAATGAAGAATCAAAGCGCTCATCAGGCCATTGGAATTCCAGTAAGCTCTGTGATATACGCAACTGGGGACTTGAAAGGTGAAGCTGCCGAGCGTCTATCTCTCATGCCCGCTTCTTATGGTTCTTCTCAATTTCAAAAGAGTAGGAGACTAAAATCTATTTTTTCCCCCTAATCTATGTTATAATCTTTTATAGTTTTCTTAATGTTAATTATTCTTCATTCACAGGTAGAAAGCATCCACTTTTTCATTGGATGAACAAGTTTAAGAGCAACGCAAATAGTTATGCTAAAGGAATATGTGACCATGGTATTTCCGCTTCCCACCATGAGTTTCTACGCTTTATAAGTTTTTCATACAAAAATAGCTGCAAAGTTCACACATTTCCGAGTTTCTGTTCACTCCATTTATAAAGGCAACTAATTTTTACTGTTTAATTGAACTCAGTGAGTTTGGGATCCACTGTCTCTCAAACTGTGAAGGGGAAGTTGAGCTTGGGCATGAGGGTTATTCAAGCCCGAGGAATTGGAAGAATTTTCAGACAAATTTTCTCTGTAAAAGGAGAGAATTTGTTGAATGCCTTCCAATGCTATTGGTCAAGCACAGCCGGTCCTATTCCTGCCAGAGTTCCTTGCAAGGTTGTTAAATGTCATAAATTTAAGCGCTTTATCATCATTAAATTGATGGAAGGAAATTTTTTTCTCTTTCAGTGAAATCCTTTTTGATTGAAATATTGGTAATGTACAGGTCATAATCCCTTTGAGTAGAACGAAAAGAGCTTGCCAAAGTGAGAATATAAACAAGCCAAGCCAAAAGTACATCCAAATCATCACAGAAGATGACTTTGAGTTTTGGTTCATGGGTTTTCTTTGTTATGAGAGATCTTTCAATTTCATAAAGAAACAACTTCATTGACACAACTCTCACTGTAGAAAACAAGTGAAGGAACAATTACTTGCTGTTTGTGAAGTATTTAAACTTCTCAAAGTCTAACGAGAGTCAGTTCAATGCAACCTTATATTTAGGGTCTTCAACCTTTGCAATTTTTTGTGAAATACATACAAAGTGCACTTGTAACATGAAAGTTTTTATTTGGAATATAAATGATGTAATATGAAAGTTTATATATTAGGCTATCGTATTACAGGCCTTATTTGTTCGTATTTGTTTACAATCTATGTTAAGTAACTGTTGCTTCGTCTCTTTGTAGATTAAAGCACTGGAGATTGAATGAGGTAGTTAAAGAGTCCGAGCTTAATATTTTACTTATTGGCAACATTGTTGAGAAGGTCGAGGAGTGGATCAATGAAACACACACACACGCACATATATATATATATATATATATATTGTCAATAATGGTTGAGGAAGGTTGAGGAAACGGATCATAAATTGGTCAATAATGAGTAATACAATGGCGTTTTGTTTTATTTATAAGAGGGTGTGCGGAGTGAGATGATGTCTGTTTTTTCTATTTTTCTCATTCAATCATATCATAATTTGAGTTAAAAAAAGCCTTCCTTTTGTATAATTTGAGTTAAAAGTTCTTCTTGCAAGATCAAATTTACTTATCACAAGGGATATAGAATGGGCAAATATTATGTTTTATTTTGCTTCTTACTTTATGTAGTATATAGATGGATTTCCATGTATTAAATTTTATATGAATTACATATCCATATATTTTTATCAGGATGTGTATTGAACTTAATTATCACAAGATGCACATTCATGAATTGTGATTTTTTCATTTATCTTTATTACTTTTGGTGCTCAATGTTAAGTTAGTTGGGCATCTACATTTTTTGAACTGTTTTGAAGTGAAATTCTACTGCAAAAGTATCAAAAATAACACTATCATAATTATGTTTTAAACAGTTTTACTAAACAGGGGCAGCATAATTATTTTTTCAGAAACAACTGACCCAAAGCTATTTTCATACAGTTATATCAAACAGACAGTCAGCTTCCCGCAGCAGCTCCCTGGGATAGCGCTGCTATAGCTACGCCAAACAGAGCCTTAGTAAACCTAGTTCAAAATCTCGTTTTTGAATCATGTGCATGCTTAACTAATAATCGACTTGATCAATTTCATACAGGGTAACCTAGAAGTACAAGAATATTTACCACTATAATATTAAACTTGAAAAAAAAAAAACTAGTGCAACAAAAGTTTGTTCAAATAATTAATGCAATGTAAGTTTATTTACAAAAAGGTGAGGTAAAAGAGGTGCATTTCATGAAAATCAGCAGATGTTATAACTGTAAATTTATTGCAAATTTATTCACTCAAATACATTTTTTTTCTGATTTATTTGCATTTGAGCCTTTCTTAGAGGCAGTTTGGTTTGACTACGATGCAAATATAAATATATAATGCATGTCCTTAGATTTCCTTAAACATAGCAAGGAGGTTTCATTCCAGTCTAATCCATTAATTCGATCTTCTGAAGGATCTGAAGAGAAAATGTTTACCTCATCGTGATAACTGAAATGAATACATCAGAATTGTGTGATTTGTATGTAAATGTCTCTAAATTCATAATTTACACCCAAATTAAGAAAAAAATAACATTTAAATGATTTAGATATAGTGCCCTCTATGATTACATTGCAAATCTCGCTACAGAAGTTTCCAAATTGCGCTGAAGAACTGCTGCTTATTTTCAAAATTCTCTAAAAGACCGACGACTTTTAGATAACCCACAGAATTCGGAGGTGCAAATTGAATTATTTTAAGAGACAGATCAACGGACCTCCATTGACGCGAATTCTGCTCAGAATCATTTTTAAACAAATCACAAGCGCCCATTTATTTGTAGTGCTGGGAAACCTCCCGCACAAGTTTGTCCATGAACTGGCATTTCTTGTCAAAACCCCAGCCTGGGTTGCTCTGCAGCAGTGTGATTTAAAACATTATAATCAAAATTCTTCAAAAGGAAGATTTACATGCGTACCATTCAATTCCTATGCATTATATATCTAACACCCAAATTTCAACTTTTACATATATGCCATCTTACCCAGGTATGGAAAAGGTGTATTTAGCTCATCCTTTTAAAGTTTTCGGGGGCGGAAAAGGTGTATTTAGCTCATCCTTTTAAAGTTTTAGGGGCATTTTTGATGTGATATGAATGATTTGGATGATATAAATATAAAAAGTAAAAAATTAGATGTTAGATATGTGAATACATAGGAATTGGATGGTATGCATGTAAATGCCCTCCAAAACTAAAGGCTATGTAATAAAGAATGAAGAAGGAAAATCAAGAGAGTTTGGCTGCGTTATTAACATCTTATCAACTAAAATGACAGATAATGCCGAATGAGATATTCGGACAAAATAAAGAAAATTATACATAATCACAATAGAAAAATTTAATAATAATAAAAAAAATGAATAAAAACAGACTAACAAAAGTAATGGAGCCATAAGTGTTGAAGCAAGTACCTTGCAATTCAAGCAAATGGTGAGGCTGTAACAGCTGTAAGAGTTATTTTTTCATCTGATAAGACAAATGGTGTGGAGCTATCATTATTTGATCCTATTAGTTTTAATATTTTTCACATTCATTATTTATTTTTTTTCTATAAATTCTATCGTCATCAATCAACCTTCTGTGCACCATTTTCTTTTTCTGTTACTAAATTTCATCTGTTTTCTTTTTTTCTTTCTTATCATCATCAATTAGCATCTTTCTTTTCTATGCTTCTTTCTTCTAATACATTTTAACTTTGGAGTATTTACATAAGTACCGCAAAATTTCTATCAATTTAGATATATAACACTTAAACTTTAATTTATACATTTAACGCGCTTTACATAGGCATGAAAAAGATGTATTTCACTTTTTATAAGTTAATAACGGTGATATTGTTGGTTGGCTGTGAAAGATTTAAATCATATAAATGCAAAAAATCGCAAAAAATAGATATTATATATATGTATAAAAACTAGGAATTATGTCTTATGTAAGTGACAATTTGTGGACTATTGTAACCTGTATTAAAAAAGTATATGAACTAATTTGATACTTTATAGATGTGATTAAAATAATCTCATGTAAATAGTCATGAGATCATTTTTGGCACTTCTAATCAAAATATACTAAGTAAATAAAAACCCAGTTTAATCCTTTATGTATGGATGAAGGTTGATGGACCAAATAGTAATCCAATGTAAGTGAGATCAGATTCCTGGCAGAAGGTAAACAGAGGCAGTAAGTTCATCCCACCTACATGAGTTTAATGAACACCCCAAACACAACAGCACACATAAAAAACCACACCTTACAAAATCAAACCAACATAAAAGTACATCAGAAAGTAGAAAATAACATCAATGTTCATGTGGAATTTATCAAATACCTCATTTTACTAATGCATGTAAATAACAAATAAATATAGCTCAAGCTAACATTCATACAATTGGAAAGAAATTCAAATTATCATGACAAGGAAAGAGAAAAGAATGCAATAATGTATAATTAAGGGAGAATAATTTCTCTCCCTTAAATGCAATAGCGGACCCGCGGTTGGGCCCATGCGGTCCACAATTATATATATATCAACACTTTGTCTCAAGTTGGGTTGTATATCTCATGCACACAACGTTGGTGTTGAGATCACTGAAGTGGTGCCGAGAAAGTGTCTTAATAAGAATGTCAGCAATCTAATATTGAGTTGGGATATAGCTTAGTTGAACAAACCCTCCATTGACCTTCTTAGAGATGAAGTGCTTGTCAATCTCTATATGTTTGGTTCGATCATGGTGTACCAAATTTCTTTGAAATATTGATGTCTGATTGATTATCACTAAACATTTTAATAGTGCTTTTGTTCTCCATATGTAGTTCCACCAGTAATTTCTTTAGCTACATCCCTTCACAAATTCATGGGGTCAGGGCATGATACTAGCTTCTGCACTACTTGCCACCACAACTTACTTTTACTTCTCCAAATAACGAGGCTATCCCATACAAATGAACCTGTGGTGGATCTTTTGTTAGTAAGCTTTCCTGCCTAGCTAGCATCAGTAAAGATCTCAATGCACTCAATTTTCTGAATAAATATCCACATCCTAGAATCATCTTTAGGTATCTCATGATTCGAAAGTGCACTTAAAAATAATATTCATTTGAATCGTTCATATGTTGACTCATTACACTCACATAAAAATCAATGTCAGATTTTGCATATGATAGATAAATAAGTCTCCCCACAAGTCTCTGACACATTTTTCAATAGGAGTGTTATCTTCCCCTTTCGACGCTCGTCGACTGAGATCCATTTCAGTATCAGAGATAAATTGTCTGTCAATTTCTATATGTTTGGTTTCATTATGGTGTACCGAATTCTTTGAAATATTGATGTCTGATTGACTATCACTAAACATCTTAATAGCACTTTTGTTCTCCATGTGTAGTTTCACCAATAATTTCTTAAGTCATATCCCTTCACAAATTCATAGTATCAAGGCATGATACTCAGATTTTGCACTACTTTTTGCCACCGCAACTTGCTTTTACTTCTCCAATAATCATGTTACCCTATACAAATGAACGTTAACTTGTGGTGGATCTTCCGTTAGTCAACTCTCTTGCCCCGCTAGCATCAGTGTAGATCTCAATGTTACGTTTCTCAATTATTTTTAATATCAATCCAAGTGCTGCAGTCATCTTTAGGTACCTTAAAATTTGAAAGTCCACTTCTAAATAATCTTCATTTGAATCGTTCATATGTTGACTTATTACATCCACAGAAAAATTAATATCAGATTGTCCACAGATATATTAAAAAATAATTTATTCCTATTAAAAGTTTTAAAAATTAGATTTATTTCCTAATATAATTTTATTTTCTTTCCTATTTTGGATTAATTTTCTTGGATCAGATTTATTTCCTTTTCTATTTTATGTTGCGTATTTTATCTCCAAATAATTAATATGAATTGATTAATTGGAGATATTATGTGTTTTATCTTTCCTTTCCTGTTATTTTTTTTATTGTTTTTCATATTCTAAGATTCATGTAAGGGTTATTAATACATCTTTTCATATCAATAAAATATTCCGCATTATTCTGAATTATAACATGATATCAAAGGCAGATTCCCTACTGTAGTCGTTGGTCACCCCTCTAGAGTCATTAGACTTCCTTCTTGTCATCCTCCCTACACGGAGGGGGAGGGATGCTTTCTCTCTCTACAGGTTGTCTGCAGATTCTCGCCGTCGGAGTAGATCCGTCCTACCCACCTCGCTCACTAGATCTCGGTGTCATTCGTAGCGGGTGGACCAAATCTACTTCTCTTTCATCGTCATGGCTTTGCTCGTGGAGAAAACCATTCCGATCGTGAGTACAAGGTGAAAGACTTATCCCAGCCCGATTTCAGTCGGCTTGAGATCGAGCTTGTGGAAGTTGAAATGCCAGGCCATATGGCTTGTAGCGCTGAGTTCGACCCCTCCCAACCATTCAAAGGTCGTGTATCTCCAGCTCTCTCCACATGAAAATCCAGATTGTTGTCCCTATTTGAAACCCTAACCGCCCTCGATGTCGATGTACGTTGGTGCACCTACAACATTTTTGCCACCCAAGACCACACTGCTGCCAATCGCCCGTGATTTCGCCGTTGTTTTTGCTTGGAAGGGAGAGACCCTATAGGAACACTAGCGGTGCACAGAGTGCTTCCTAGAATGGGGTGTCGGTGGAGGCCCAAATCTCATTGTTGATGACCGCGATGATGCGACACTTTTTATCCATGAGGGAGTTAAAGTTTGAGGACTACGAGAAATGAAAAATTCTGAATCCGGCTTCTACAGACGATGTGGAATTACAGATCGTGCTTAGGCTCATCAGGGATAGCTTACGCGTTGATCTGAAGTACCAAAAGATGAAAGAGAGGCTAGTTGATGTCTCTGAGAAGACCAATGGAGTGAAGAGATTGTACCAGAAGCAGTGCAGTGGGATGCTTCTTTTCCCTGCCATCAACGCCAATGAATCGGTTACAAAGAGCAAGTTCGATAACTTGTATAGTTGCCACCATACTCCCCGATCGCCTAATGCGAGCCACCGATGTCATGATCGTCGGCAGGGTAGCCATTGTTTGCGACTACGGCGATGTAGGCAAGGGTTGTGCTACCGCACACATGACCGCTGGCTTTTGTGTTATCGTCACTGAGATCGACCCAATATGCGCCCTTTAGGTCCTCATGGAAGGTCTTACTATTCTCACCCTCAAGGACATCGTGTTTTAGGCCAAAATTTTCGTTACCACAACTAGATGGACCTCCTCCCAAAACGGTCAAATCTCTCCCTACACCTTAGCAGCTAGAAATCATCTTTGCCGGCTAGAGAACTTCCATGCATACCTTACTGCACCTTCTTGCAGGTAAGTTCCTGTAGGCCACAAATTCCAGCAGCTAACTCACATGCAAGGATTGTGCAAACGAAGGGCAGCTTGTTACAAAGGAGTTCATCTTTGGTTTGCTTTCAAAACGACTTAAAGGAAGTTATTATAGAAGCGAGATTGGATGCATCCTTGAATGAAATCCCAACAGCCGACCTACATGCCCTTCTTCGTCGGTTTTTTGCTTTGCTGCCAAAAAACATAATGCAGGTCTTTCTCTGTTTTTTTCCTTTGCCACCGAAACTTTTTCCTGCAGCAGGCTTTTCTCCGAAGTTTTTTCCTGCATCAGACCCTCCTTTGGAATCTTTCCTGCAGCATAACTTTCTCAGAAGCTTTTCTGACATTCTTTCTGCACCAGACCCTCATAAGGTGCCTTTTCCTGCATCAGGCCCTTCTCCGAAACTTTTTCCTATATCAGGCTCTTCTTTGGGATTTTTCTTGCACAAACCTTCAACCAGAGCATGTCCTACAGCAGGCCCTCTGAAGCA